AATATGTGGATTCTGTAATGTTAATAATGTACGTAACATCAAACTAACTTGTGAGTGACATGAAGCCATAAAATTGAAGTACAAAATACTCGCTCGCCATGTCATAATTGTCCTTAGGGTTTCCAAGCACTGTACATGACACATGAATGGCAAGCGCTGACGTAACGTACTGACTGCGCGTTCTGATAAAGCCAACTACATAAGCACGGCTAGGGTGAATCGCGGCACTCAAGGACAAACATAGATAAGGCCTCTCAGCTGATAGGTATAGTCCGTAGACCCGATAGAAGACCACGCTTTTCTCGGGCCATTACCTCCGTAACCGTTCAACTTTGGACATAGGTGTTTTGGGTTATATCGGCATACTTTAACATAAGGAACACCCTCCCGAAGTTTGGTCCATTCCTCCTGGGACACCCTGTATATGTATATGCTTACAGTGCGGACAGTCTTGCTATATTTGTGTGCATGCCACTTGATGATGATAGTTTTATGGTCGAAACATATAATGTATTCAGGAATATAAACAAAGTTTTTAAAAATAAGTTTAAGTGACTCTCCCGTCATGTGGAGTGGCACTGTATGGCGGGCACACGGTATATAAGGGGCCTGCTGCAGTAAAGTTGTTCCCAAGGTATGTTACACACAATTTAAAATAAATCACGTTATACACCTGTGTTTAGATAATTAACAGATGTTAAATGTTCTGCAGGAAGATTTGCATTAGCAGGGAACAACGTCATGGGCAGTGAGGCGTACAAATTCGCAAAGAAAATGCTTGGAAAATGTGTGTACTGGAAGGTGGAGTGCACTTCTCCACAAAGATTTACAGTTGTGCCTCTTAACGAGCCCGCCCAGCTGCGACCGGTGTCCATATCGAACAGGTGTTCTCCCGTCAGGTATGTTCTGTTGCAACGAACACATCAATACTCTCGGTCTGTTTGTTCTGACATGCGTTGCGAAATGTCGCCATCTTACATCCACTCGTGCACAAGATGGCTGCTCTGGCTGGCGGATACTGCCGATCCGGTACCTACTGAATAGCAGGATGGGTGTGCCCCAGAATCTATTTCGACGCTGTGAAGATGTGAAGGAAACCTTTAACTTTTCCGGGAATCAAACCCCGATTCCGGGGCTACAGTGATGTGTTCAATTAAGCACAGGGGCACCTCTGCTCCTCTTACCCTTCAAGAGCCCGAATTTCGAAGTGACCGTTGCCGGAAATAATCATAAAAAATCATCCAAGCTTACTGGATGCAATTTATTTAAATACAAAATGGCAGAAAAAATTCATTTCTGATTATAAACATTGACGAGATCGTTCCAGTGGTTGGCATCCCTGCTTCGCATCATTCGGGAGGTCCCAGGTTCAAGTCGCGACCCCCAGACCGTCTATCCTACCTCAAGTATTGAGTGGTTTCCTGAGTCATTCCAGTAAAATAGTGGGACAGAACCGACTCCTTCCACGTTCTTTCCAGTTCACTGTTTAGTGATCATCATAAAATTCGATGCTAGAAGCCATTCGCCAATCACCATTTCACATACAGATGTTACGGCACACGTTAAACCGGAAGTGAAGGGTGGTTCCCACTAGACTCCCACACATCCAGAAGGATACAGAGTAGGGTTTAGGGAAAAGTGGCAATGTAGAGGAGCTAAGGACTTCACGAGAAGTTCGCAAATTTGGTTTTACCTGTACCCATGGATTTCGGCGATGACAAGAGTTTCCTTGCATTACTAAGCAGTGAAACAGAACCTGACAAATTGTGCCATTATTAACATCTGCACACAGCCACTGGGCTATTTGTTTATTGCCAGTGCGGCCACTTCTGGCCTATTGTATCAGCCCCAGATGATAGGTGAGGGTGATTGTGGAGCAGTTGGTGGAATGAAGATTGGCAGGGGAAACCGAAGTACTCGGAGAAAACCTGCCCCAGCGCCACTTTGTCCACCACAAATCCCACTTGACCAGACCCCGGAATCGAAACCGGGCTGCCGCAGTGGGAAGCCAGCCACTAACCGCTTGAGCTATGGCGCGGCCTGAAGCCATTGGCCTAACTTTACACTGCTTTGGTCATGAAGGGTTGTGCCAACTGCTGACAACCACTCTGTACAGGTATCTGGTTCTTTGCTTACACCGTTAGACTTTACCGTTGAGAGCGCTCGTAAAAAATAAAAAGACCGTGTACTTAGTTGAGGATCTGTACGTATCATACGCCGATCTCTGTCGCGGGTCCGTCAGAAGCTTGCAGGAAATGACGTGTTCTCCATCATCCTTGAAGCTTCCGTCTCTTAGCAACAGATTAATATTCCAACAAGGTTTCACAATTGCAGAGATTATTATAGTCTCTGGGCTGCCTGGGTAAGGCTACTAGAAGCCAGTTATTCTCGCGTCTGCATTACACCGCAGTCCTCGTCTTCTCCCGCCCGGCGCGTAACAGAGCACAGGGCAAAACTTGTCACGTGCGATGCATTTCCTACAAGAATCGTAACAGATCTACAATTCATGAATTGGCAACTAAAATACGAAATTTGAGAATGACTATTTCGAAGAAGAAAAAAATACAGAACATAACAAGTACAATGAGCCCTCGGTAATCCGGTCACGGTTAAGGCCGCGCCATAGCTCAAGCAGTCAATCGCTGACTTCCCACCGCGGCGGCCCGGGTTCGATCCCGAGTCTAGTCAAGTGGGATTTGTGGTGGACAAAGTGGCGATGGGGCGGGTTTTCTCCGAGTACTTAGGTTTCCCCTGTCAATCTTCATTCCACCAAATTCTCCATCATCATAATCACCCGGGGTAGGCTACAATAGGCCAATCAGTGGCCGCCGTGCCGAGTGGACCCAGTTGGACTCCACCCCCCACTATGGGAATTAAAAAAAAATAATCCGTTCACGGTTGATTCGGATGTAGGATGATCCGGATCGAAACATGAAAAATGAGAAATTCTGTTCACGGTTGAGTACACATGAGATTTAGGAGCAAGAGGACTTTCGGGCTGTGATGAGGGCAGCTGGATCTCGGAATGATAGAATGGGGAGTTATGGACTAAGTGGTCTGCCTCAGGTCACGGACTGGTGACGGGATCTTGTGAACCTTCGCTGGGAAGTTCTTGCTACACAACCGGCGGTTTCTCACGAAGGGCTGTTTCATTAAGTTAGGGTACGTGGTACATATAGTTGCACTGATAGCTCCCATGTCTATTACATAAAGCAAATGAGAATGACGCGCTTTCTAATGCGCCTCAAGCCAATTGCGTCGATTATTATTTAACATAAACCGGAACTGTCGAAGCTCGTGCCGGAACTACTTGCGGAGTCAGGTGTGACTTGCGCGGGGAACTAAGAAGGAAAAATTGCCTTAATCAGGTCATAGTCTGTAATGGACCTCAGTCGGAGCAGAAACTTTTCCACATGCAATGATCTGATGCCCTGCATACTTAGCGTGCGTGTTTCTCTCTTCAGAGTAATCCGGTTCTTATAACGAACAAGCAGTCAGCACACTAACACACGAAACCTGAAGGCGTAAACATCAGCACCATTACTCGTCTCCTCGCTGACGACCAAAGAATTACAATAAACTATATACCGAAAAGGTCAGCGTACAGGCATCTCTCCTAACTCGTATTCAGGAG